CGTTTCAGCAAAGAGAAAAAGAGGATATTTTTTATCGAAGTACTTGCACATTTATTATATATCATGTGCTTTCAATTTTTCCGATTAATGTAGATAGATAATTTTCAAAACAACGATACAGAAGAAGTTGTTGTAAAATTTAATAAGTAAACGGGTTGGTCAACATTTTCACAGTAAATTCCTCGAACAAATTTTAAATTATTCTTTGCATTATTAATATTGCAATTTATTCGAAAGATCGCGTTCGAGAAACTTGTTGCAGGATTCCATTTTAACTTGGCTACGCGATTATCTTCCCGATTAATTTTCAATTCAATTCGTGAAAATAAGCACGATCGCAATTTCGCACATGGAAAATTAGAAATAACTCCTGTGCGTGACACAGTATTCACGAATACGACGGTTTCACCAGTTATTGCAATGCGTATGAATCAAGAAGTGTTTCCGATGAAATAAAATGAAAGAATGTTAGCGCACAAGGAAATAATCTGAAAGATAGAGAAAAATAAAGACAAGTAAAAATCATCTCACTTTGAAACGAATAAAATTTGTTTGTCCATATGTAGTTTAGATGAAGAAGAAAAGAGAATTGAAAAGGTTGAAGAAAAATATATGGAAGTAATTTTGCAAATTCGATATATTCTGTTTCATCGATTCTCCATCCGCCTACGTCAAATAAATCGAACGCTATACTGTCATTTTAATTCGCGCTAGGGATACGAGGGATCCTTTCCTTCAACTACGAGCCATTCTTTCAAGATAATAAATTAAAAAAAGGTATCGAAATTTATTTTTTTTTTCCTCCACTTACGGATATTCTTTATTTTTTTTCTTCACTTTCGATATTCATTATTTTACTCGTTGAGTTTATATATGTAAAGATGCGATATATATATTTACGCGTGAATTGAGTGTCACTGAGCATAATCGCTTGATTCTGTGTTTTGTCTTTTACGCTTTTTTAAACCGTACAACGCGACATGGAGCTCAGTGTAGTAGAAACAAAGGTATATCTATATAACATAGCTTGTTCTTATTTCCTTTATTAAATATTAAATTGTGCTATATGAAATTGCCAATTTTAGAATAAATGACAATCAACCGCGACTTGTAAAGTCTACTTTAAACTACTTAACCTATATTTTGCTTAGCATATTTTGACGTTGTTTTCTTATATTTTCTTTATGTAATAAGTTTCTTTTTGTACTAGTTTAATTGTTTTTTGAGAAGTGAACAATATGGTGTTACCGAACAAATTTAGAATATTATTTCTTCTATAAGTTTAAGCTGGATTACGATGTAGCTGAAGCATATTGAAATATTATTAGATTAATTTTCGGAAAAGATTGAATTCTATCAATGAGAGGATTTCTCGATGATGATTATAAAAATTCAAATCTGAAAATGAGAATCTTGAAAATAAGTGTCGAAATAGAATATAGAAATCTATATTGAACAAAGATAAATTGAACTTGGAAGCTAAACCACAAACAAACATCCGCAGATTTAAACGTATTTCGATTGATAGTTTTCAAACATTTGGGTACAATAAGTAAAATGAAAAAATTGGAAAAGTAAATGCTATAGAGGATCAAAAGTTGCAGTTTAAAAGTATATTTATCACATAAAGTTCGAAACAGTAAAAGTTCATTTTTGAATAAAATTATAAGAAACCTGTGATGAGAAATAATATACGATAATTTTAATTATACTTAATACTTTTAATTGTACTCAGAAATTGATTAAGAAACAAGTCGCATTAGTCAATAGACATTGAACTTCTTAACAAACTTGATTACATACATCACAAATCATTTTATAAAAATTAGCTGAATCGAAATATGAATTCTTAACCTATTCATTATACTTATCAGATATTTCACCAACTGATTATCACTTGTTTGTTGAGAAACTATAATCGTAATATTAGAAAAATTTCTTCACTAAACCATGGAATTTTATAAAAATGGAATATGTCAGTTGGAATCTCATTGGAAAAAGGTTATTAAAGCAAATGGTTTGTATTGTATTCTTTCTTTTAATCGAATCATTTCATAACCTATTCTCTAATATTCTTTTTTCCCTTATTTTATTACTTTTATCTCTTATCGACTATGGATTAAATCAGAGAATTGATTCTAACATCGAGCATTGAAATTGTTTATTAAAGGAAAATATCAATTCAATAATAAAAAAAGAAAGGTATGTATTATTTTGTATCGTATTAAATAAATAATAAATTTTAAATTAATCTGCTACTAATAGTAAAATATACAAATAGTTTAATAAATAAAATAAAATTAAATGTAACGAATTTTATATTATTTTAATTATTATATTTTATTTGATTGAGATTTCAATTATTCGATTCAATCCATTTTTCTTAACATTAAGTAATAATAATAATAATAATAATAATAATAATTGAAAGGAACTTATCACTTCTTTAACTATCATTTCTTTCTTTCTTTTTTTTTTCTAATTAACGAACAATATATTTTTATTTGAAAGCAGTAATCTAGAACTAGATTTAACACGAACTCAAACAATTTTTGATACTGGTTACACAGAATGCAACATCGATGAAATAACGCGAATGGAATAAAAAAGAAGAAAAATAAATTGATAGAGAAACGAAGCGGATGATAGGAAAGAAGGTGTATACGAAAAGGATTTTTCTACGTCGTAAATTCGATGTGCCATAAAATTGTGAACAGAAAGCTTCGTTAAAGAAAAACGTTGAGAAAAGAATCTGATGTAATCGACGATAGAGGGAATATTATAAAATAATCACAAACGTGACAAACGCAACGAGGAAAAATAATTTTTATATATAGAACTAGCATTGGTTATGGCTTGAATAGCCGTGAAAAGTAAAAGAAATAAATTTGAATAGACTTTTCTCAAATAAAGGATGTTTATAATTTCATGAAAATTACATATTTTACATATTTACATATTTAAAAAGAGGAAAATCAAAAGAAAGAAATTTAATTGTGATAATATCGAATACTTTTGTATTCCATATATTTATATATTTTATAAATATATTTTTATCACGTTATGTATATTTTCTATTCGAATATATAGAATAATTGGCATTATACATGTGTAAATTTCATCTATAAAATATCATAAAATTTATGTATAATATTCATTTATATAATTGCTTGCAAATATATATTTTTAAAAAGATATAATAAATAAATAATTTTTAAAAAAGTAAGCGAATAACATTTAATATTGATAAAAGAATAATTCGCGTTGATGATGAACGAATGGAAACCAATTCTTTTTCAAATTACTGCGTTGGAAATGATAGCAAAAAATTTCAACGATATGAATATGAAATTTTATCATGTATTTTTTAATTTTTCCTTCGAATATTTTTATTCCTTCGAATAGATATTTACATAATTATTATTATTATTTTTTTTTTCAACGAAAGCAACGAAATTTGAAAAGTGAAGAGACTCTGAAGATTTTTCAAAAATTTTTCTGCCAAGAATAATTCTATTCAAGGAAACAATGATGTACGACACGACAAAAACTTGAGGTATATTTTTTTTCTTCTATCATTTTTCACAATTTTATTTGAATCTGAACAGGAAAATTTTATAGACAGTTTTACATAAAGGAAAGTTGAAGAAACTAAACAAGTTTTAAATTTACAACATTTATGATATATACGTTAGATGCACAAATGTTGTTATTTTTTTATGCCCTCTTGCTGCCAATCGTTCGTGCCTGAAACTTTGATAAACATCGATTTTCTTTGAAATTGCTTTTACATGTTTGAAACTGAAAAGAAAAAGTTTCTTAAGCTTCGAGGAAACTTGTAACTTGCTTCCTTTTTCATTAAATTATCTTTAAAAACAAAAAAAAAAAAAGTGTCGAATAATCCATCGTACTTAATTTATAACTTTATTTTCAAGTTGAGAAGTAAAAATTAAATTGGAATAAAAAGTCGACTCGATTCGATGAATATTTTTTAATTCAAAATGTTGTAACACGAAAATAAGTTTGAAAATTCTTTCATCGACTAGATAAAGAATAATCGATGAAACGATTTCGTGACATTTTTAATTGTAATTCAAATTTAATTATTTTGAATTTTCAGAAATAAAATAAATACACCATGAATACATGAAGTTTTTATATGGACGAAATGGATAAAATTTTGAAGAAATCAATTATCAGTTTTCACTGATTAATTTAAATATGATATAAAATATTATGACAAATGTTGTTTCAAGGAAAAGTACATTAATGTCAAACGAATTATCCTATATTCAACAATGATTATCTTAATATATTTTATCATAATTTTAAGTATATCTATTTTTTTTAAATAATTCGTATTTATATTTATATAATTATATTTTTGTATATTTCTGTTTAACCTTTTTTTTTTTTAAATTTTTATTTTCTCTCGTTTCTTCTTCAAATTAATCTTAATCTAAATCTGTGAAATTGCAAGAATATTTTGAATTGTATAATATTTTATAGATAACGATTATTTTTCAATTTTTTTGCGATTTATTTGATTTATTATATATACATATATAAGTAATATAAAGCTATTAAATTTTCAATAAAATCTTAAAAAAAATATCACGATATTTATCTATAAGAAGAGAATTTATATAATTAAATTTCCTCTTTACATTTTTCTCTTTACGTCAATAGTAATGATAAAATCAAGTAAAATATAATTGTTTTAATTAATAATCTCATAATTTTAAGTAATAATACTTTTCACAATTTTAAAAATATCCTAAAGCAAACACACATTTGTTATCTCGGTACAAAGGGACAAAAAAAAAATGTATATTACGAAACGTATAAATCATGCTACGTGAACTACTATGTTTGCATTCGTACATATTGAGATTTTATTTTTTTCTTTTTTTTTTTTCCCCGCCAGAGAACAACGTCGATAATATTTTCAGGTTAAAAAAATTCCGTCCAAACGTGAAAAAACTATAATTATGAATTATTATTACGAGAATTTATATCTATATTCATAATTAAATAAGAATCATAATAATTGTAATAATGTTAATGTGCAAAGTATTATTTTATTAACGAAGATAAATAGTAGCATAAACTAATTAAAACGTTCATCGTGATATGATTTAAATATAATCGATGCAATATCCATAAAAATTGCCACCTTCACTGTACATAATAATATAATAAATCATCATCCACCCAATCTTTTACGAACCGTAAAAGAGGGAAAATCGTGTCCTATTTTTTTTTAATCAATTCATTTATCGTTTCCTATAAATTACAATTTTATTTTATACGATTATTTCTGTATTAATCAAATTGCAATAAATGAATATATACACATCGAATAAAATCTTCACGATGAAGATTTCAGAACAAGTATTGCTTATTCGTATTGAAATTGAAGAAAATGATTGGGATTGCGAGGAAAGTCATATTTTATTGTAATAGAAAAAAAATTTCTCATAAAAAAAGAATATTATATAATATAATAAATATACTTACGTAGGCCTTCGTCTTCAATGTTTCGATTGAGAAGAATCGATATCTCTAATTTTAATGCTTCGTTGAATTTCATCTCGAAAACTCTTCATAAAATTATTTTATTGTAATTATTTTTGATCGAATGTACCGTTTCAACAAAGATAAAAAAAAAATATTTCTCGATTAATCGAGCTAATAATTGGCTTTCTACGTGAAAATTATCATCGTTCTTTCTCCATTAAGGAACTATATTAAACGTCCACAATTTGTGACTGAAATTTTTTGCGACTGGCCAAGTCGAGAAAAAAAATTGAAGATATCGACAATCGGATCGTACACCAGATGTAAACTGCACGAACGTAAACTCCATTGGAATTTCAACGAAATCCAATAAAAAAATTTACGTTACCATCATCATACCGATTGTTATATTCGTTTCATAGTTACTTTGAGAAGATATCTCCCTCCTCCTTCTCCCCTCCTCCTCTTGGATAGAAAAAAGCTCGTCGAATGCTCGATGTTCGATCTATGAAAAAATGAAAAAAAAAAAAAGGGGGGAAAAAAATAGGAAGCGAGAATTCATTTATACGCCAGATATAAAGGGTAAGTAAGGTAAGGAGACGGAATAAGCGGTTGAATCGAGTGATAAATGAGAGTAAGAGACTGATAGGGTGAAAGGGAAGAGAAGGGGAATAGAGAAGAGCGATCTGCGTCTGCGTTAAAATTTGGGGGCAACTGGAGCACGGTTAGCGTCGCGGCGACATTAGCTTTGCCGACATCGCGACGCTTCGATCTTCTTATTCGTTACTTACTCGTTGTTTACTTCTTCGATACTTGGCTCGTTACATCTTGTGGTGTGGACAAACTTCGACAATGTTCGAATTTAGGCGCTTTTGATAAATATATATATATAAATAATCGCTTAAATCGAGTTTCATCGAGAATAGTGTTTTAATTCTTTATTATTTAATTTTCCTTTGTTATATTCGGTATTGAAAAGTAAGATTAAAATTGTCAAACTTTTGTATAAGAACGATTATATAAATGAAAAGGAATTTCTTTAAAATTGTAATTAAAACTATCAAATAACAATGTAAATGAAATTGTTGAATTTTTTTAGTTATTACGGTACGGTTATTACGGTGGAAAAATAGTTTTGTTTAATTTCAATAAGAAAAATTGAAAGAAGATGTGGTTACTGTAATAATCAACGTATTCACGGATTTTATAGATTCTCAACTTTTTACATTGATTCAGTAGTGCATCGTTAAGGATAAAGAACCACTTTCAAAGAGTCTGTAAAAGATAGAGAAATAAAATTGAAATACTTTTCAAGACTCGAAAAGGAAGTCCTTCGGACTTCTCTCTGAAATATAAACATGAGAGTAAAACGTATTTTTAAATATAATAATTTCACCGTATCTTTTTGATTAAAAAATTAATAATAACAATAGAAATAATAACAGTAGAAATTAAAATATTGTAAACTAAAATTATTTTAAGAGACAAAAAAAATTGATAAAACAATTTTTATTGTTTTATTTTATTTTATTTTCTATTTTTTTTTTTTTTTCGTTTATTTTTTAATCAATGGTCAAATGATAAAAATCGAAGGTGGAAATATTTAACAAATTTTTGCTCGAAGAAAAAATTTCTATGCCTCTCCGAAGAATCAAACTCTTTTACTATTATTCGAAGATTACCAAATACGCTTGATCGAAATTAATACGCGTTGGAAATTATCCGCTAGAATTTCAACGGTCGAAGAAAACCGTTAATCGAAGCACACAAAGAAGAAGGAAGCGGATTTAAAATAATCATGACGGATTTTAACACATCGTCGAACTACTACGTTTGCGATTTATCATCCTTTTACTCGTATTATTCGCATTTGCATGGATGGATCTCCCTTTTCGTCTGTATTTTCGGCTCGATCGCCAACATTTTGAACATTCTCGTTCTTACTCGACGAGAAATGCGATCACCGACTAATATAATTTTAATGGGATTGGCCGTAGCAGATCTGCTCGTAATGATCGATTACATACCCTATGCGTTTCACTTTTATCTGTATCGTCGATCAAGAAGGGACACGTTCACTTACGGATGGACGATCTTCGTGCTGTTCCACTCGAACTTTTCTCAGGTAAATTATCATCAATTGATTATTTGAATTGCGAATATTTATGTTCATTTTATATAATATATATATTTTTTTACATCAATATAGTAAAAATTCTGATTATCTTGAGACGTGGATCGAAAGATTCAGATTTTTAAGGTTATAAATTAATTTTTTCGCATAAATAATGTCAATTTATTGGAAAATCATTATATTAATTGAATATTCGAATAGAATATAGCTTCATAAATATTCACAGTTTAATTATAACAAAAATTGAAATTGAAAAGAATCGAAAGAATATTCATTTCATTATAAAACTGTAGAGACTTGAGATTAAGAAAATTCAATTAATAAATTATATTTACTTTGAAATCTAATTATTACGAATTTTTAATTATTTTTTACGATGTGCAAATGAGAAAAATTTATTAAGCATTTATCTTGACTAGATTTGATTAAAAGAAAGGTAACTGCGTAATTTTGCGTTTCCGAATGAAAAATGATAACAAATATTATCGTACTACTGACCTATAAAATCGTTTGGTATTTATGATTGCATTATGAGTGCATTCTTCCTAGATCGTCATTCCCTTGCTTTTGTTTGATGAGGTTCGACCTACATGTTTGGAAATCAATTATTCCAATGCTTTATACTTTCTCTATCTTCACTTATAATTAAAAATTTAATTGCAATTTAATAATGAATTTAGCTTTATTTTTTTTCCAATTTAATATTATATTTCTTAAGAAAATTAATAATAATGAAATAATCATGTATCAATGTATATCAAACTTGGTAAAATTTTATGATATCTAAACGAAAAAAAAAAGCAGAATTTTATTACGATTATAAAAATTATTTTTCTCTTTAT